CTTCAACAGCCAATTAGCCAAACATCGTGACGTCGGCTGAAAAATAATCCAGGTTCTTGCTTGACCCGCTTTACTGTGGAATGATTTCAGCCCTGCAGAAAATCCCTGTGTAAATTTTTTAACCAGGTTTACTTATTGACCTAAGGCCAGTTTACACCCCAAAGCCGCAGTCATAAAAGTGGAGTCATAAGTAACACTGCTTGTCCACACGCATTCAGACACCCGAAACCAGACGCGAAGCATCCAAACATATTGTTTCCTTTTGCAGCGAGTGCACAATAATGATAAAACACTAAGAAACGCAGAGGAGCCCGAACAAGTCGATTCGAGTTTATGGACACTTCCCGGAGTTTGGACCCAGTGACTCGCAGAAATGTAAACTTCTGGACCGAGCGATAAATTCAGTAGAAACACTGCTCTTAAAATTGCATAGATCACTACCTGGAGTATTCATCCGCATCGGTTTTGTGCTTGGGTTTTTTTTTTTTGAGTTAAAATTGCCTGGATCCCTTGTCAATAAAATTTGAATTCGTTCACATTATTAAAGGCTTTACCCATCTCCTGGTCGCCCTGGGACATCGGGGATTTAAATGCAAGTAAATAGGGTGTCGAAGAGAACGCTCTTTGAAGCAGACTGCAAATGTACGCAGAATCCTAGTCTGTTGCCACTGGCAGGATATCCTCTCTACACTTCTAATACTTGCTAATCCCTTTGCTGTACTAGATTGGATGGGTGCGTAGGGGGTGGGGGGCAAGAAGAGAAAGTAAATCCTACCTCCCCAAAACGTTAACCAAAACTGGACCCCTCATTAGACTGGAAACGCAATAGTCTTTTTTGGGGGAAATTCACGAGATTTTGTTTTTCCCGAGTTGAATGGCTGATAAAGACAGATGATATGGTTAGGAAAATCACCCCCCCCTCCAACCCCCACCCCCCACTCATCTCCCCCACCACAATCTACTGTGTTCTGATCCGGCAAAGATGGAATCTAAATTGTACGCTGGTCATCGACACGACAAAGTGAACCATTGTTGCCAAGTTGCAAGGTCGGGTCGGAATGCAAAAACGTTCCTTCACATAGGGGAAGTCGCACAGAGTTTACTAGAAATAAGACGAAAATGGCAAGTTTTGGGGGTAGGAGTGGAAAGGAAGGTTGACTGAAGGTCGAATACACTCCGCAAACCTTACAAACACAACAGTTCGTTTGACCAGCTCACCTCCGTCGGGATAAAGAGAGCAGCTAATGTAATTTTAATTGTTGATGATGGTGATTCAACTGTACATTTTCCCGGGCTCAGATTGGGAGCTATGTTTTGAAATGTATTAATAAACCGCCCATGTTTTGAAATGTATTAATAAACCGGGATCTATTGAAATTTCAGTAAAGGTGCGTAAAGCACAGTACTGTACTGAACAATCAATTTAATCTCACCTCAAGCTACAGTTCTCTTTCTCGGATCAAGGAAGTCTCAACATAAATAAAATGCCTCGGTATTTAAGGTTAGCAAGTTTAATCGACAAATTAAAACACACAATTCTTTCATCTTCACGGTCTCTCATCACCGGGGAGAGAGAGAAAGAGGAAAACTGAGGCATGTGTTACGTTATAATATTATAACGCGTTACAGTCTTGAAAAGATCCGTTGTCCGTTGTCCCCCAAACAAATGTAGTCACGAATAAAAATAAGCCACGTTCAAGCCACAGTAGGAGAAAAAAGAAGTTCTAATACCGTGAAGAACCAATGCCAGAGTCAGTGCGATATTTTTGATCGCTTTACTTAGCCTAAACGAGAGAGTTTGATTCCATCTAAATGTCCACGGAATCAAGTTCCAACTACTGGAGACTCCCACTGTCAACTTGACCTGATTTTGTTTTTTAAGCAAAAGAAAAGTTATTGTCGATAAGTCAACACGAGTGCCAAAATGAGAATGAAACAGATTTGCCTTTCATCTTCCTTTCTGCAGCACAACTTCCCCTCCGTCTCTCCCACTCCCAACCCAATTGCGGTCTTAGAATTCCATTGTAAAACAAGGGCTGTATTTTTCTGCCCCAATGACTGTGGATCGGTGGACGGAATGGAAAATTCGCTCGCGCGTTCGCGAGAGATAGAACGGTGACCCGAACTGCGATTCAAAGGAGCAACCTCCCCCCAAAAAAGGGCAGGAAAGCTCCCGCCAACCAACACAACCGACGAGAAATTCTTGCCTGCGTTTTTGATTAAAAAAGATGTATTTACAAAAAAAAAAAAGGGACGATGTCCTCCAATCAGCAGAGGAATTCTGAAGCCTCACTCCGACCCTTTTTAAAAAAATCATGCTTGGGTTCAATCCCAGCCAACGGCAATAACATGGCTTAATCTAATATTAGAAGCATTTTTTTAAAAAAAAAAGTATCTGCAGAGCATCTATAGAATTGTGCATTGCTGCAAGGCATGTAAACATTTTGTGCCGCATCGAACACAGTCAGGCAACGTGAACGCAGCACACGTCTGCGCTGTTCAGTCAGGATTTATCACACGATCGGAAAAGCACAAGAGCGTTTTCAATCTCACTCAGTGGAACGGACACAAGAGGACGTTTTGAAATGTACGTGACCTCTTTGAGACAAGCGCAACAGGTTTGATCCGTAAACCGCCTTGAAATTGTACTGCCAACACGATCGGATCACGTATTGAGCTTGCTTTCACTAAGTGGGGCTCACTCTTAAAACGGCAAACCTATGGCATCCCATCGCAGTGTTCAGTCACTTTTCCCCGCTAATGATGATGAAGGCGGAACAGCCTAAACCAATAACGATTTTGATTAAGTACTAACATCCTCTCTCTCCCTCCCCTCCGCGAAGCATTCTTTACCAGTTGGAAAAACTGATCCGCTATCTTTAATAACACGAGGGAAATGTATGGTTACGGACCAGAACAGCCAAGAGAGGCACAAATCTTATTGGAGTTGGGTGAAGTTTCATATTGAAGCATTTTTTTTTTTCTTTTTGCTGCTGTTCGAGGCTATGGATTAAACACAGCGAGTTGAAGGTCTAATTTGACCAGAATTTAATTGCTCTACAAAGGAGAGGGTCATACGGGTATTTCACAGCCTCTACCTCATTGTCATTTACCTTCAGGGTCTCCCGAATTACGAGGACGGCATCGCTGTCATGGGGCTATTGCGTATTGGGCTAATAACACGATATCAGGTGTGCAATCTCCGCCCCAATCCCACCCCCACCCCAGACGGGACGCCCCCCCTTCCCCAGCAAGTCTATTAGCTCAACCCGGTGATCGAATCAAGGTTACTGTCATGGTGACAAGATGAACTCTACTGCTTTTACACTGGCTTATTTGGACCTTACTTCATTTCCAATGAGAGAAGCAGGTCTGGGAAGCGTATTATAATCTCCCAAACCCGAACAGGTGCGACTTAGCTCACCTGTTCAATTCGCTCTTGCGCAGTTAAGGGGAGTTCCTCCAATTGACTCCTCGAAAGAATTCGAAGTCAAGTTACAAATTTCTCAAAGACAATAATACAAATGTTAGCAACTTTACAGACCACTTTCTCTGAACACTACACAAGCTATTTATGAATTATAAATAATTAAGCTTATTTACTGTAATCACTGGCGGCCTCGAGCACGATCGAAGCAAAATTCACTTTGAATATATAGAACAACACCATCCAGGTATAAATCGGTTTGTCTAGATTGCTTACTCTACAACCATTCCAACATAGGACTTCTTATAATTTGAAACAAAGCAGCAAGTTACCACGGGTTTTCAGTGGCGAGGACGTACATTTTAGTGGATCATTATGGTAACGACTAACTTGTACAATCTGAATTAACACTATGCTTTTGCAATACTAAGAAGAAATCGATGAGCCGGCATATCGAGGTTTCCCCGATACACTGTGGTCCCATAGCTTCCACTATGCAGAACTGCGGTTTGAACCTTCCACCCTGTAACTCGGTCGTTTTTTTTCCCCCCCATCTCCCTAAAGTTTGTCTCTCTCTCTCTCTCTCTCTTTCTGTAAACATCACTAATATTTAACTGCACCCGACAGGAAATATTACATGGATCACTCTTCTTTCACGACTGATACTTGCATTGATCTCTGCCTAGGCGCGGCTTTTAAAAACACAGAATGAGGTAAGGTTATCACAAACCCAGATTCGTTTTTTTTTTATCTCTGAAATACTTCTATGCCGATAAAAGCAACTGGTTACGTTTTTTCATTCCGAGATTCTCCCTCTCTTACTCACTTTTGCATCTTTGAAGCATTTTATTTTAATTTTTTTTTAAAAAAAGAGATTAAAACGCCTTAGTGCACATATGGCGCGGTGTGGTTTCTGATAGCAAAGGCGAGCGATGCTATTTCAAGTCAGCGCTTGTGGAATTTTCTTCTAAAAAGTATCTCCTGACTACACAAATGCTTCCTGAGTTGCACGATAAAACCCTGCGCTCTACATCAATAATGTACATTTATTTCTGAAAACTGAACTTTGCGAACATTTTCCCTGATGCTCTTTTGTAGGTTCGACAGTTTTAACACAGTAGACGTCTTTGTCTCTCTCTCTCTCTCTCTCTCTCGCTGATGCACTCGCCATCGGTCGTGTTGAATAAAAAAAATGAAACGCCACAGAAAAAAAAAGGTAAAAAAAAAAACACAATTTAAACCCTGCCCGAGTCTTGCTATTTTACTAAAACATTTCAGATTCCGCTGGAAAAATAATTCCAAGACTGTCTTCAATTTTCTGTCTACCCGTGTTTACTTGTTTTAAAAAAAATGATTCCTAATATAATCATTAGTAACATTAGACAGACTGAATGCACCAAAGGAAAATGGTAAAAAAAAATGTTGTTGCATTGGAAGGGCTTCATTCACTTTTTTTAATTATTTCTTTAAATTCGGAACCTGATATAGACATGTGTACTGGTGGCGTGCTGACACATGGCAATCATGGCAACAACACGCACAAGGACCGCCCCCCACCCCCCCCCCACCCCCCTCACACACCCAGCCTGGCAACAATCATGCCTTTTACCTGTAACTTTGGCTGGTTGGAGCCTTGGCTCCAGCATTAATTGGCTCATTAGCATCAGACAACAAAGTAGTGTACCCTGAGAATTCAGAAACTGTAGTCCTTATTCGATGGCTTGTCTCTTCACCGGTGCCAGAGCCGCTGCTGAAGGTCATTGGCAACCTCCCGCCCGACTTGAACTGGGATCCGAAGGCCTGGGCGAAATTCTCAATCCGATACACCTGATGGTTCAGCCCGGGCTCCAAGTTCTTCTGCTGGTCCAGCTGCCCGGCCAGCTCCTGGGAAGGTGTCAGCCTCTGATGGGTGGCTTCCGTGCTGGGGAATTGGATGCCGGATTGGGGGCTGACCAAGACTCCGAAATGTGACTTTGGCGAGGCGGTCGGCAACACTGAGGCAACAGACGGGCTGAAGCCGCACTCGAGCGAGGGGGTGCTGTACGCTGCCTTATCGGAGAACAGCGTTTGGCCGGGCAGGCTCGACGGAAGACTTGTGGAACAGAACTGCAAGCCCGGGCTGAGCGAGAAGGCGTCGCTCTGACTGGTCCTCTCTAAAGCTTGCTGGAGGTATTTGGAATATTCCTGGAGCATTCCGGTCTTGTCGGCCCGAGGCGGGTGCGAGCCCGGGCAGGCCGTCTCCTCGTGCATCTCCTGCGGCGTCTGCCGCGAGCCGTGGATGGGGACGTGTTGGTCGCTTATATCGAAAGGGACGTCGTGCTTGTGGGTGTATTGGTCCAGGAGGCTTTGCAGGACCTCGTCCGGGATCCCGGCCTTGTCGGGGCAGACTTTCACGTCCACGTTCATGGAAGCGGAGTCCAGCAGCGGGAGGGGAGCGTTGCTATCCATAACGCTGGCCACTGCCGCCTGGATCACCGACTGCTGAGACGCCATCTGCCCTATGCTCACCGCGTAGTCGTTGTGGCTGGAGGCAGCCTGCAAATATCTTTTCTTCTTGAAAAACTGCATGGCTTCGTCATAGTTGCCGCTGCTCACCTGCTCGGTCTTGCACTCTGTGCTCTGCAGGAGCACGATGTTATCCATGTTGGCGTTGCTGTTTAGCTCCAGGGAGCCCGGTTTGTTCGACAGCAGCTTTTGCCTCGCCATGCCCGATTCCGCCCCCATCAGGTGCATGTGATTGGGATCTGTCCTCTGAGGGCTTTTGCGATTCACCTTTTTGATCACCAGTTTGGTGGCTCGAGTCTGTGACTGCTCTTCACTTGAGTTTCCTAACTTAACACTGGACGATCCCATGGGCATCTCGACGGCGTATTCCTGCATGTTATAGACCGACACCTTATCCTTGCAGCCGCTGAAGTTGCTTGGCAGTTCAGAGATATTGGCTTTGTTCTTTTTGCGTATTGCCTTTTCTTTCGTCTCCTGAGATGTAGCTTTTGACTTCGCTCTCCTGCGCCCGCCCGCAGTTCCCTGAGTTGATTCGAAGTGACCGTTCCCCACCTGGCCGGAAGTCCCGGGCTCCACTCCGTTCTCACTCTTACCCAGCACGTCGCCGCACGTTCGTTTGTGTTTCAACAACCTATCCGTCCTGGAAAAATACTGCGGGAAAGGAACAAAGGTGGAAAAACATGAACATCTTTGAGATTACTCCACAGCATAAATTACCCCCCCACTTTCAGACACTTTATTATAACGTGGGAAATCTCTTCAACCAAGTTTTCCTCATTTCCATTCCCCCTTAATACCCGTACTTCCCGCTGCTGTGTGCAATTGGCGTTTCACTCACAATATATAGTCAATTCACTTTACAGTATATTCTGTGAAGCGCTTTGAGACGTCTCTAAGACGTGATAAGGTGCAATATCAAATGCAAGGATTACTATTATCTTTCAAATGTTCCAATGGATTTTCCGCCTGCCATAGCATAATCCACACTCTCGCAATACTCTGTGTGAAGGACTGCTACGTTCTATTAACAAAAGTATTTAATAATCTTTGAAGAGAAAAAAAGGCCGACACATTCTGCCTTGAAGCTTTTCCCTGAACATCAGTGAAGGGTAGAAGGTCAATGCTCACTCCTACTGAAGAGAGGTTATTTAACTTACTTTAACTACGTCTATCGAGAGAAAGCACAGGCTAGGAAACTACCTAAAGTAATCGCTTTTGTGAGCCGTATAATTGGAGGGTAGAGGACATGTGACAGGCTAATAGGAGTCCTAATGTTACCGAGTGTTAAAGCTGCATGCTGTGTGGGAAGGAATCCAAAAGACTGACATTAAGAGTATAAAGAGTTTTAAGTCTCCATATGACAACAATAAAGATCACAGCCTATATCCCCTTTCTCTCCCACACGAAGCAGAAACTCGCTTGTTAGTCGATTAGCGGATTGCTTTTCCGGGGGAGTAATAACCCCTTAAAAAAAACATTTGGTCACTCAACCCACGACTGTTTGTGGGACGCTGCTGTGTGTAATTGGCTGTTGCCTTTTGCCCACAAAATATACAGTCACTCCACTTTACAGTATATCCTGTGAAGTACTTTGAGACTTCTTGAAGATGTGATAAGGCGCTATATCAAATGCAAGTATTATTATTACTACTATAAATCTTCCCAAGAGTTAACAGCCGGCCCATGTTTACCTGTTGGCAAATGTGGCATTGATAAGGCTTTTCTCCACTGTGCGTTCTCTTGTGTCTCTCCATGTGGTATTTCTGGATGAATCGCATATTACACTGATCACAACAGAACGGCTTCTCTCCTGTGAGGGACAAAATAGATTATGGGTAGATAAGAGAAAATGAATTAGAAATGAAAAATATATGAAAACTCACACTTCTAATGAGATTTTATGATGTAGATCAAATCTCTTTTAATGCGAAGAATAAACGTTCTCACTGAACAAACACGTCAGCCGAAATATTATACACACAAAAGAACATATAGACCATATATATGTGTATATATATATAGAGAGAGAGAGATGTGGGCATGCAACCTGGGACTGTTCTAGGCTCCTGATTACTGTCCCCCAAATCACAGCTTGAAAGGTGCACTTGCGCTCATCTCAAGGACAGAATTGGGGTCGGCTATAAAGCACCCCCCCCTCATCCTTTACCCAGTCATCTGAGCAATGCATTTACTCATGCAAAGTACTGGAGCTTGTAATATTGACCTCAAAGCAGGAGTTCAGGGTTTCAGTGAAGGAAGAGAGAGAAACACACAAGTCGTAGTTAAATTAGAAGCAAATATAAGAAACTATGCATACCGCTGTGGATTTTTTCGTGCCGTTGAAGCAGGTATTTCTGGATAAAGCACATGCTGCACTGACTGCATTGGAAAGGCCGTTCACCTGAAACAAGAACATTAGGATTTTATCTCTCCAAGAAGCGTCCATTATAATCCGTAAAGTCCAAGCAGTTTAGAAACTGGGATGGGTGCCCGGTCAGCTCAAAATAAATACACTGACTGGTGCCAAATCCCATTATTTATGCACACATCAAAACAATCTCTAATAGACGAAGGAAAGTGTAGCTTATACAATACAAAACATTTATTGAACAGCGAAAAAATCAATGGCAATTAATGAACTCGCTTCTTACCAGTGTGGATAAGGACATGACGACGAAGGTGGTAAGAACTACGGAATGAGGCACAGCAATGCTCACAGATGTGAGCCTTTGGGCCATGTAACAGGCTGGTACCGTCTGCACCCATTGCTGAGGACTGAAGACAAAGAAGACCAGGTAAATCCCAAATCAAAACACTTCCAGCCTTGTGAAGGTGACGAGACAAGATGATGCCGGAGTTGAGGGTAGCAACGAAAGTACAACAATAATAATGCTTGCATTTGATAATAGCGCCTGATCACGTTTTCAAGACGCCTCAAAACACTTCAATACTCCAATGCATATTCCTTCGATGACTACTGTTCACAATCAAACTTTTACAGTAATACTGTAGTAAAGATTAAGGCAGAACTCAAATAGTTTTGAGCCTATGGTATCGGCGACCCACTGAACATCTAGGAGAATTACAATTAGTGTTACTTAAACCCTGCACCTCAATTCACTTTGGTATCGTAGCTAAAGAGCTTCTAGTTTACTGTCTTCAGAAAGAGAAAGAGGGGAAGGAATATTGTGAAGATTCAAAATAGAGTCCTATGAAGAACCAAAAAAGGATGGAAAGAGCAGAGTCTTGAGTGATATGCTGAAAGTCAACTCTTTACACTTTAATTAAGCTCATTAACATCTGGTATCTGGTAAGCTGGTATTTGTTGCAACTGACATTTAGTTCAATTTGATATGATACTGGTATGTGGCAGAATATACCTTACAAACTTGGCAGGGTGCACACACAGAGTACATGCACTTGTAGCAGCCAAGGGAATTATTTTCCACCTGAATCACAAGCTGTCTGAAAAGCCCAAGCAGATTATAGTGAAGGGAAAATCTCTTTACTCAATCATCTGAAATGATTTGAGGAGAAACTGTGCTACAACAAACCCCAAATTGGCCATTCACTTCCTGGCTGTTAATGAAGATGTCGCTTATACACAAACTGGATGCTGCATTCTCATTAAATATACAGTTACTGCAATTTATAGGAACTCTGTGAGGTATTTTGAAATGTTTGCGATACTGTATCAAATTGCAAGGCCTTTTTTTTATTGTTATAATTTCACTGCAGTCGATGAACTTTCATGTTTGAACAGTGTAGTGGTTGTCCAGCTAAAAAATAACAGACTGTTGGCTGTTTGAAGGATGCTGTGAAAAAAATTGGCTGCCATGTTTCCCTACAAAGTAGTCACAACATTTTTAGGATATGCTATGAAGCACTTTGAGACATTCTCCTAACTTAATAATAATAAATAAAACAAATCTTGCATTATATAGCCCCTTATCATGTCTTCGAGACGTCCCAAAAAGATGCTGTTCCCAACATAATAATATTATTATGTTGGGAACAGCACCTTTTTGGGACGTCTCGAAGATGACACGATAAGTCGTCTCCCGGGTGTAATCTCCACCCTGAAAAAAAATCTCACCTTGGAAGCGTCACTTCGCTTGCGTCTAGGCTTTGGATCCTGAGATTGAGAGTTCGGTTTCTTTGACCTCTTAACATAAACTCCTGGTCTTGGAACACTGAGGCCATCTTTTTCATATCTGGCTTGTAACTGGAGGGTTAGAAAACAAAGACAAAGATAAGCAACAAAGTCAGAGCCTCGCTGCTCTACACTGCCACAGACAACAAAGCAGTAAATGGTTACCTTGGTGAGCGAGTTGTTTTGTTGAAAGCGTATGCTTACTAAGAAAATACGCAGAGCATCACTCAGTCACGTTTATTAATTTATACGGGTTAATTATTTATTTGCAAGCCCTCAGTTTGGTTAAATAAAAGGAACCCACCTGGCGTCTAACCACCAGGAAAGTTCAGGTGATGATAAAGAATGTAATTTTGTTGTTGTTGTTGTTGTTCTTGTTAACATCGGTTTGGCTCGGTTCTGCAGAGACAGCACTAGGCCTCTGATCGGCGATTCTCTCGAACAAGCAAAGTGCGACGCAGTATATTGTTAACTCTACTCTGTCCTAAAACGTTCGTGATCCGACACTGTTTTATTGCAATGACGTTTTATGCAATGAATTTGGGTGAGGAAAGCATCAAGCACAGCTCTGATACTCCCCCCCACAGATAAATCACCTGCCAACACTCACTATTTAGGCTCACACGAGAGTAGCACTTGTGTGTGCAATGTCGCAGAGTGGCAGTGCAACTGGGTTCCAGACCGTGAGTCATAACCTTAAGAGGAAGGAAATATTTCAGCGGCAAGTTAAGATTAAACTGCGGCTCTTGTAAAATTCCAGTCTGGTACAACTTCTGTTTGTAGTAACCTTTACTTCACCGTGAGCTGCAGTCATTTCAGACATTCATCAACGTAATGTGCAAGTAAATATCTAGCAGCTTCAGTAATAAAATGAGCCGACAGGCACTTACTTCACTGGTATGATTCAAGTTCTGGGTTAAGATGCTGTGTCCTCTGTGCATTTCCTCCTCGTCAAGAAGAATTTTCCCGTTGTTCTTGAAGAACGTAAATCCATCCTGCGAGGAGAACTTTTTCTCCTTGACATCGGAGATGGGCTGCATGTATTCCGATGGATATTTTTCCGTTGGGGAATCGGGATCCTTTTTGAGGATCAATTCCTGAGGTATGGTTGACGGGACAGAATGGGCAGCGAGGTTGGAGAAATTTGTGATCGGCGGGAGGTGGCTGAACATGATCATGCTGGAGGGGAAGTTTGGCTCCATCCCACCGTTCCTGAGGAACTCGTTGCCTAGTTTGTCTCGGATGATACTCATGATGCAAGTGTAAGATTAATCAGAGCCAAGCCGACAGCACACTCCTATAGCAAGGAGAGAAAAATATCAGAGTGATATACAACCAACGATACACAGTGCCATTGCACTCAGTGGATTAAAACCAAAACTGTCCAGTTTCTATTTGATTATGCTACTTGTAACTTAAACGACGAACACAAGTGGCACGTACGCCGCAGCCGGTATCTGAACGGCGGAGCGTCTATGCTGTCCACTTAAATGGAAATTATACAGACTTAAAGGTGAATGTAGAGGTAGACCAGGATAAGCTGAGGTTCTATTTATGAGCTATTCAGGATATTGCTGTTTGTGACCTCATCATAAGTGCAATTGTGCAGCTGCCGCGTAGCAGGTTCTTATCGATTGTTTTACCGCAGCCACAGAAAGTCGGCAAACACCGCACGGCGTCTTTGGAACGCTCTCAGTTCCAAACTGACGCTGACAATCAAAGCAAGCGTTACCTATTCTGTGGCCGACAAAAATACACAGTGCTCCTGACGCGAAAGCGCCGCGTCAAATGATTATTGCTGTTTTATATTTCATCTTGCCAGTCCTTTTTCTGAAGTTTCTTATTCATTCTAAATCGATTTCTTCCCCTCTGCCAAAACAACTGAACGGCACAAATCACAAAATTCCTCTTTGTGATTTCAACACAGCATCTGTCCCCTGCGAGAAAGAATCCTTCAGTCGTCAGGTGGGACAATCAGGCCCATGGAAGTCTCCACGTGCGACATCAATGTCACTCTGGGGGTGCCAGCCTTGTGTTGTATTCAGCCTAATATGCCAATTATTTCCCTGTGTGCCAAAGTTGAGTGGTTTGCCATGATTAGTTTAACAACCTGGAATTTCCAAGGTAGTCGTTTTTCAAGCCACAATTAGTACAACAATAACACCGTTTTTCAGGTCCTTAATCAAATACAGGACGACTCGTAGATAAGGTTTGCTGCACTAGGTCTAAACCCATTGTGTGTTAAAGTATTTACGATTTTCATCTGTTACAAAAGATTGCTTGGTTCACACTAAGATAAAATCAGTCATTCACTTCACAACTATTTGTGGGATATTTGTGCACACAATTTCACTGCCATGTTTTCCCACAACATAGTCACTCCGCTTTGCAGTAAATCCTGTGATAGATTTTTGCTCCACGTCTTCACAACATGAAAGGCTCTATACCAAATTCAAGCAGTATAATTATAGTAAAACTCGCATAAGTCATAAGAACTTAAGAATTTGCTGGCGAAAGTAGACCAAGGTCCATTCAGTTAGCCTTCCAGCATCCTGGCAGTCGCACGCACATGTCCCAAACTATATCCCGAGATATTATTTCCTAACAGAAATCTATCTAATTTGTTCTTGAAAGAATTTACTGTCTGCTTCCATCGTCTCTCTAGGTAACCTGTTCCATGCATTTACTACTCGCTAGTGTTTCTTACACATCATCCAATCGCGGAATGAAGTTCTTGACCCATGGACGCATGCGTTGGTTTGAAGTTCGCATGCGTAGTGTAGATTATTGATTAAATCGGATTTTGTACGATTTATGCAAGTTTGCCTGTAACTCACTTCACGCAAGTCATAATAAATATGATGGTCCCAACTGATACAACTTGTGAGTTTTCCTGTACCATGATTATTAAAGTCAAGGAAGTTCTTGTTAATTTTCAAATGATTCTCGGGTGATTTCACCACTTTTGATGATCTTGCTTGATCTTACATATCTCTCACAGTTCAGTGACTCACTCGTTATCATTTTGTTATTTCCGTGGCCTTTGGCAGAGGATTTACATTCCTCATGATGTGCATTTTACAAAAAAAGGCTATCCTGTTTCCTCTCAGATCACCCTCTGTGTGTTGCAGTGCACTATGTGTTCATCCTCTGACTCATTTTCTACTAACTCAAACGTTCTCCAAAACTTTGTTCTTTCTTAAATTGTGCTCCTCCACATTCAATGACTTATCACATTCTTCAGGCAATCTCACCCACACTTTCGTGGATGATTCAACTCTTAAAACCATCTGCCTTCAAAGCTCGAAGACGCTACCCCATGTGAAGTGTACGTTGTTAACATTCTGTTGTCAAGTGCGATGGCTGAATCATCAACCACGATCTTCTGGGTCCACGAAAGTCCCGTTTCTTTCATTTACCCAGACCCTCTTTTCTTCCACAATTAACTAAAACACTTATATCTGATGGCTTCGCTCTGATGTATTAAGTGCCTCACACTATTCCCTTTGACTTCAAATTTTAAACTTAAAGAAACAAATGGCAACATACTTTACAGAGATACGTCAGCACTAACTGAGAATTAAAGAACTTTAGGACTATTGTATTTACATAATTTTGGAAATGTTATAAACACTGATTCAGAAATAAGGTGAAGCCCTTTTAATATTTCCTCACACATGCACCATTCAAGATAAAGCTGTTTAGTTCTTGCAGTATAGATATCCATTTAAAATAACCAAATTATTGCTGGTTCCTTCAGACGATTACTGTTAGTTGTAAATGTAAGAAACTCGGTTTCTCAGTTCTTTACTGTATGGAGGAGCTCAGAGAGAAAGCTTTGACATGATAACAATATGTCGAAATGAAGCACGCCACTGCCACACAGGAAGTACCGAAATGTCCAAGGGGAAGAAAAAGCCTGAACTTTGTCAGCTATCGACATGAAAGCGCTGAGATATAAACTGGATCCAACTTGAGGCAGTTATAGCATAACAGTCTTGTGATCATACATGCTTCAGCAGCAAAACCTTTGCCCCACTTAAACAACTAAGCAGAAGAAACCCATGAGAAGGCATTTTATGTGGAATCCCCTTATCAGCATTGTCAAATATTAACCATACTGCCATTGAAACAAGGGACGTTTCTATACGAGTCTGCCAAGCTCTCTTTGACTTTAAAGCATAAACATGAACAGGAAAGGGAAATAAAGACCAGTATGTAAATGTCAATTAGTATTTGCATGGATCTCATACCACAACTCAAAATAGAAATTTTTGCATTTAATACAGCATCTTTCCTGTCAGGAGGCTGCCTCAAAAGACTTCACATGATTTAACGTGAAGTGTAAGTGACCGTGCAATTTTTTTAGGCAAACTCGCGAGCTGCCAATTTGCGCACAGCGCCGTCCCACAGGCATCCACAAAGCAAATGCCCCTTCATCTGGGGGGCTTTTGGCCAGGTCACCAGAAGAAACTTGCCTTTTCTGCATAAATGGTATGAACCATCATTCCCTCGAGGATATTTCTATGCGTAAAGCAGGAGGGGAGGGGGTAAGAGTGACAAGAAGGAAAGTGGAAAGTTTCAAAAAGCATCTGGACAATTGTAATTTGTTCCCCGCGCCACCCACACTTTTTGCCCTTTCCCCAGCTGCGGCCTTTATTACGTGCAGGGATTCCCCTTCCTCTCCCCCACTCCGCCATCCCCAACAATCATCCCACACGATAATTTTAGGAGACAATTTTTTTTCTATGAATAATATTTCTATATATATATATAAATCGAAAAAAATTCCAGACCGTCTCCCCTCATTTCACCCCCCCCCACAATCCCTGCCAAAAAAAATACATATATATGTACATTTTTGTACACATATATATATTTGTGTATATATCTATATATACTTTATCCTTGAGGGACTGATGGTTCATATTATATATACATATAGAGAGAAAAATAATTTTTTTAAAAAAAATATGCGAGACATTCTCTTTCTCTCCCACCCCCCACACAAAAAAAATCAAAGGAAAAAGAACAGGAGGGTTAAAGAGATGGACTCAAAGCAAAAGGTAAGATTATAAACGAGCGAGGCGAAGTGGGGAGAGAGGGAGGGAGAGAGAAAGGGAGGGAGGGGGGAGAGAAAGGGAGGGGGGGAGAGAGAGAGGGGGAGAGAAAGGGAGGGGGGGAGAGAAAGGGAGGGGGGGAGAGAGAGAGAAAGAGAGGGAGGGAGAGAGAGGGGAGAGAAAGGGAGGGAGAGGGGGAGAGAAAGGGAGGGAGAGGGGGAGAGAAAGGGAGGGAGAGGGGGAGAGAAAGGGAGGGAGAGGGGGAGAGAAAGGGAGGGAGAGGGGGAGAGAAAGGGAGAGAGAGAGAGACAGGGAGAGCTTTTGTCTTGAGCGTGAGAGAAAAAGCCGGGCGGGAGAACGTGAGCTAACGTGCGCCCGCCCGGCCCGGCCCGCTGCCCGGGTTTAACATGCTTTCCGACGAGGAGGAGGAGGAGGGGGGAGAGGGGTGTCGTGTAGCGAGAGACAGAGAGAGAGAGGGAAGGAAGAGGATAGAAATAGAGAGAGAGAGAGGGACGGAGGGAGGGAGGGAAGCGAAGCCGCTCTCAACCAGTACCCCGAGGCCTACCTCAGCCCCGGAGCGCGGTTCTTTGTCCGCCCGCCCGCCCGCACCCGGGGCCGCTTCTTCACCCGACTCCGCCTCCCCCCCCCCCCGCGGGAGGGTCGGGGAGCGTGTGGGGAACCCGCCGCCGCCTCCTCGCCCACTTACCGGCCGCCGCGGCCTCGCGCTCCTCCGGGCCCCGATGTCCAACCGCCTTTCAGTTTGTCAACACGGAGCGGCCGCTCCGCCCCGCCATCTTGGCTGCCCCGGTGCACGCTGGGTGGGCGAGGGCGGGGGGGGAGGGGGCGGGGCTGGGCGGACGCCGCCGCCGTGTACGCGCAGGCGCACTGCGGCTGCTCTGCCCACCACCTCCTCCAGCACCACCGACGTGTCGGCTCGACCACGCCCCCGCCCCGGCCCCGCCCCCAACACCACGTGTCGCTCACCTGTCAATCATTGTCGCGCCCCACCCCCCACCCCTCGCGTCTCGCTCACCTGTCAATCATTATCGCGCCCCCCCCCCCCCCACCCGCGTGTCACTCCCCCGCGTGTCACTCACACGTCACTCCCCCGCGTGTCACTCACACGTCACTCTCCGCGTGACGATCACACGTCACTCTCCGCGTGTCAATCGCATGTCGATCACATGTCACTCCCCACGTGCCAATCACATGTCACTCTCCATGTGACAATCACATGTCACTCTCCATGTGTCAATCACATGTCGATCACATGTCACTCCCCACGTGCCAATCACATGTCACTCTCCATGTGTCAATCACCTGTCAACCACATGTCTCTCCCCACGTGTCAATCGCATGTCACTCCCCACATTTCAATCACATGTCAATCTCCACGTGTCAATCACATGTCGATCGCACGTCGCTCCCCACGTGCCAATCACATGTCACTATCCACGTCTCAGTCACATGTCAACCACGCGCCGAACTCCATGTGTCAATCATTGTCACTTTCCACATGTCAAATACATGTCAACGAATGTCACCCGCAAAGCACACAGTCACTACACTTTACAGTGTATCCCGTGAAGCACTTTGGGACGTCTCGACGACCTGATAAGGCGCAATATCAAATGCAACGATTATTATTATTATTATTATTATTATTATTATTATTATTATTATTATTATTATTATTATTATTATTATTATCCATATGCCAATCACTGTCTCTCCTGTCAATTTCTCTCCCCATGTCAGTCACTGTCACTTTCTCCGTGGGAGTCACTACCTCTCTCTCTCTCTCTCTTTCGTTCTGTCCACATGTTATTCGCACTCTCCCTCTATCCCCACTATCAATCACTGACGCGATTCTCTCCCCATTTCAACCATTTCGCAATTCACGTCAGAGGAATCCCGCCTTTAATAATCAGAATGAAATACGGGAGCGTTCGTATTTTTAAAAAAGCATTCCCGTATTTGGTACGGCACCTTTGGCGTTCAGAGGACATCCCAAAGCGCTTCACAGGATTTGCTGTAAAGTGCAGTGACTGTCGATAGAGTTCGACGAAAAGACCGATACATCTCAAAATGTTTGCATGGTGCGCGCGCACAGCAATGTCCCACAGACGGCCGTGAAGTGAAGTGAGTGACGAATTGTAATAATAATAATAATCCGCGCATTTGATATAGCGCTTTTCACGTCGGGAGGACGTCCCAAAGCGCTTCACAGAACACACTGTAAAGTGAATTGACTGCATATTTGTGGGCGAACGCGGCGGCCAATTGCGCACAGCAATGTCCCACAAACAGTCGTAGATTGAAAATGACCGATTTATTATTGTTTTTGGTTTTGGAGGGAATTGTACCTGGAGGATCGTCAGGCAGGACACCGGGCGGGAGGAGCGACTCGCTTTGTTTTTTGAATCGCGTGGAGGAAATCTTCATCTCTGTTTATCTTACAAGGCGAAGAATTAGGATATTTCACAATGGCTGCACACTTGGTGTTACTACGGATAGCTTTTCATTCCAGTGGGCTTCAGTGCATCATTCCAGCCGCCTTCCGAATGCACAATGCCCAGTTTGAAATATCAATATGCCACTGTGAAGATCTACAGCGCATTTCGTACATCCCCCGAAATTGCCTCTGTGCAGTGGAGCCATTTATTCTGCCAAAGCCCTGTGGCTCTTAGCGAAAAAAACGGCTGTAGAATGGAGGCTGCAGTAAAGAACTTGTCAAACTCTAAAATGCAGCATAACCGGAGGAAACCCAGATCTGCGTGAAATTGCACCCTGTAAACATTCAGAGGCTTTCAAATTGCTGATTTAGTCTTCCTTCGGTTTAGGAAATGTGACGGTTTGCCCAAATGTTACGCAGCCCTCTTAGATTCTAAGGCAAAAGGTCTTGAGCTTTGTCTTGACATGTAAGATGGGGTAACGTTTTGGAACATTCTTAAGGCTAAGCCCTCGAGAAATTTCAGGCCGCAGACACCTTGAATGCGCTCGCGCACACGTATACACACCAGTGCACAAACACGCGCGCACACTCTCTTATTCCCCTCTCCTGCATACCGCACTTTTGTCTCTCCCTCATCTCCCTACCCCCCCCCCCAAAAAAATAATAATAATAAATTGGTCACTTAACCCACGACTGTTTGTAAGACGCACCCACGTGCAATTGGCTTCCACATTTCGCCCACAAAGTGTACAGCCAATTCACTTTACAGGATATTCTGTGGAGCGCTTTGAGACGTCTCGAAGACACGATAAAGCTCTATATCAGATTCAAGGGTTATTATTATCTCTGCGTCGAGTTTCCTCTTTCAGTATATTTATGTTTTTTGCTTCAATCTCAGTTTCCGTCAGTGAGTTCCATATTCTCACTACCGTTTTTGCGTGACGATGTTCCTCCTAAACTGCCTTTTCACATATCTGTTCCTCGCTAGCAAAGATTTAGTTTTCAATGCCGCAGTTAGGGTTAAATCAATTGGGCCCAGGAACAGAACCACTGCATTAAAGTACACTGCGTGGGTGGTACTATACGACCGCTTGGCTCACTTAAAGGAAAGTGGGACTGTTAGTCTCTAACCTCGGAAGTGTACGGCATCACACTCCCGGCCCCAAGAGCACGCAATCTTCCTGTTAACGTGTTCTGTCCTTGACAGCAATCCTTCCTTATCTCGGGTTTGTGCAATCTCCCATCCACCAGTTAGAACAGTGAGTCAGCCTGGTTCAGAGCGCTAGGTCTCTCGCCTTTCCGAGTCAGGAGGTTTTCTGCTCGGGCCTTGGACACACTGCAGGTGGTGCTGTGACGCCTCGAAGCCGGAGAAACAAAACTAATGCAAAATGAATGCTTCTTCCCAAATAGGGTTGATGCCTTCTGAAGAAACACAGTTCCTGCGCTGTGATAATATTGAGCGATATTGTTGTCCGAGGCTATGGTGAGTGGAATGGATGGGAAGACACGCTGAAGTGTTAATGCCTGAGTAATAGCAATAATAATAATAATAATCCTTGCATTTGATACGTGCATTCACCCCACCCCCACCCCCGATAAAATCGGTCATAGATGTTTGTGGGACTTAAGCTGCTGTGTTGGCCTGCAAAATACAGTCACTACACTTTACTGTGTAGTCTGTGAAACGCTTTGAAACGTCTCGACGATGTGATAAGGCACTAAATCAAATGCAAAGATTATTAGTGTTATTATTATTATTATTATTATTAAATACACAGTCAATAATACCTCACAGTAAAATCCTGAGACAGCATGACAACGTGATAGGCCACTGTATCAAGTGCAGGGATTATTATTGGTGATTAATCTGATCCTTGGCTCCAGCAACGGACGTGCGTGTGGTTCGCGTGTGCATCGAGATGCTAAATATTGCTCAACAAAATTCATGGGGAAACCACATCGTTTGAATTCGAGCAGACTAGTTCTTTGAACAATATATCAGAATGAGCAGGCACACAGTGAGAGAGAGAAAGATAGCGAGACAGAGAGAGAGAGAGAGAGGAGGAGGAATTAAACATTTCATGTTGTGAAATTTCCCTCCGTTTGTACTTTCAATCAGAAGAAACAGAGCAGACAATTTGCCGATAGGCTCAGTCTAATCCTTCCCTGAAAATCACACCGCAACATCACAGTAGGGTTTGTATTTGAAATATATAACGACCTTTCATTTGATGTGACCACTTATTGGATTGGGAAGATGTCTCGAAACGCTTCGCAGAACGTTTTACTAACCGTCGCAACGTGGGGTTTGAACCGCAAACCTTTTTGACTCGGAGGCGACTGAGCCAGGCCTTTTCATTTAAATTTTTCTTTTCTTTTCTAGAAAGCGTTGATTTCTCGATGACTTGCATCCGATCATATTTTATTCATCCAACCTACTTTGTCAGGAAATTGCGCTCGTCAGGGCTCGCTCCCCAAAGCTCACACGAAGCTCGTGCTTGAAGTCACACGGAAGAAATCCCTTTGGTGAGCTCGGGCCGAAGGGGGAATGAGCACTGCGGAACGCGAGGCACTGACTGATCGTGTACGTCGTCTGCTTTCGAAGCCATCGAGAGCATCTCCACAAAAAATAATAACAACAATAATAATAATCCGTGCATTTGATCCAGCGCTCATAACGTCAAACCATCTCAAAGAGCTTCAAAGGGGTAATTGCTGTCAAATGAGCTGATTGCGTGTTCTGTAGGCGGACATGACAGCCACTGGAGCTCAACCTCCTGATGTTGGGGCCCAAACTCAAACTAGCTGCTCTAGTATCACGGGCAAACCAGGTCAAGCTCGGGAGACAGGACTAAATAAAACCATTTTCAAGTTCAAATTTCTTCTCATTCGATCTCGATTCCACTCGAATATAAGAGTCTGTCGGAAATAACCCGTCGAACGAGCCCGGGGTTGATGCATTTGGCTCGGGGGCAAGAGGGGGAACGACTCACTCTCTTTGTGCCTTGCTCGCTGGCTTTCCGCACTTTAACGTCTCTGATCGAAAGAAGTCTCGGCACTGCCGAGCCAATTCAATCGGAAGATCTTTCCTTAATCGGTGGCCCCAACGGGACATCCACATCACTGAGTCTACGTGGTTAGTGTGCGCTTGGTGAGTCAGTCTTACACCAGGAAACATTTCATAACAATCCTCACAGATACGAGAGTCTGAGCCCGGGAAGGGAGAGTGTTGGGTGGGGGTGGGTGGAAAGGGAGAGGACAGATCAGTGGGGAGAGATTCCGCATTTCATTCCAAACACGGGAACGTGGCTTATAAATATGTCGATCTGTCAGTCCGGTATGGTT